CAAAGTAAGTTTTCTTAATAATTTAAGAAGTTGTAGTCATTTTTGTCTTGTTGTTTTTTAGGTTTGATTTGGTGTAAGTGATTAATGAAAAGAATTTTTACTATAATTAGATATGATATTTATCTATAAAGTACTAAAGTTTCATTTGATTTGCTTAGTAATTCTTAAGAAATCACTTGTATATAATAGTTAATATTTTTAAAAATATCAACTATTATATACAAATGATTTTTTAAGAACTACTAAGCAAAATCAAATGAAACTTTAATACTTTATATATGAATATTATATCTAATTGTAATAAAAATTTGGGCTAATTTAGATTATTAGTTATTGAAATATTTATCTTCAAAGTTTTACTAAAAATATTAAATTTTTAAATTATCGATATTAATTGATTTTTTTACTCTATTAATTATAATTGATAATAATTATTATATATTGATTAAATCACTCAGATATGCATCGATACATAGTATTTAAAAAATTTTCCTTATGAAAAGAAGAAGTAAAATCAGATAATACTATAAAAATTTAAATACTACAAACTAAGTATATCAAAGTAATGTATGATAAAAAATATTTATAAATAGTCTAATTTAGAAGTTTGTAAACCAGATTATAGCTTTAATACTAAATACAAAATAAGCAAAACTAAACAGAATAAAAAATTAGATAGAAAAAAAAAGAAAAATAGTATAAATTGAAGAAAAATATAAAGATATATAAAGAGTATGATGAGTAACAAATGTTTAGATAGCAAAACTAATAATAGATAGATATTTAAAATTAAATATTTTAGCAAAGCACTGCCAACAATAACTAAACTAAAAGCAATAAGATCTGATCTATATAAAATGTACTAGTATATTATATACTTAGATAAATTAGAAACAATAAACTATTTAGCAAGCTGTGAAAACTATCAAGGTATTAATGTATAATAGAGAAAGAAATCATAAAAAAATAGTAAAAACTCTAAAAGAAGAAAATGATACAATCTAAATATCAATTGAAAAAGAAGTAGAAAGAAGTATATTCAATACAGAAGACTCAGAAAGAATAGAAACAAAAATCTATATAATAAGAGGCCTAATACAAGAAAAACAAAAAGTAAGAGTAGAAAATATACTACCAAAAAAGAAATAACAAATAAGATTGTAGATATATACTAAACATGTTTGGTAAAAGATTTTAACAACACATTTAGAATTTCAAATATGAGATACAAAATAATTAGAAAAAAAAAGAAGAAATCCTGAAGAAAAACAAAAAAAAAAGAAACCAAGAAAAAACAAAGAAAAGAAGACAAATCAAAAAAAACAATAACTAATATTAAAAACAGAAAGCAAAAGAAAAAGAAGACCACAGAGCTTCAGCCTTCAATAACATTAAAAATCTAATATAGTACAATATAAAACTGACATGATTTTTACTAATAAAATATAAAGCAAGAATAAAAATAAAGTAAAAGGCAGTGCTAACAAGTGTATAACTGCCAGCCTATAACTAAAAAAAAATAAGTTCTTAATAAGTTAAAAATCTGAAGAGAAGCTAATAGCTACTGAGGCAGGTTGCACCTGGGTGAAAGCAAACCATCTGTTTGGTTAGATTAGATACAACTAGAGGTTGGAACCGGTTTTAATAATTCGGGTTTATCACATGAATTTTGTGATATTTTAGAATTTAATCCAATTAAAATTTAATAAATTCTAAAATATCACAAAATTCACGTGATAAACCCGAATTATTAAAACCGGTTCCAACCTCTAGATACAACTATAAATAGAAATTTATGTAAATTTTTTGAATAGTTTAATCTTAAATAAACAGAAGCAGAATTGCCAAATTACAATAAAAAAATAAAAAAATTTAAAGTTTTTATATAAAAAATTATAAACATTTAAAAAAAATATAATAAAAACATATAATAGATGCAAACACCATAAATATATTTTATAATAATTGATAGAATTTTTATAATTTAATTAATAAAATTCAAACTTCAAATTCTCTATTCGAAATATAGTATAACAACTACTATACTATATTGCTATATTCTTGCATTAATATACGTATTAGACTGTATTTAATAAAATATTATATCTGTTGCAGAATATTATTGTAAACATTATTAGATATTACAACAGTTATTTTTTTATATTACCTTTTAGCTTTATTTTCTACTTGTAATAATTGCAATATATACGTTTTTTATTAAGACTACTGTATTTACAAATTCTAATTATGTAAACTGATTCTGAATAAATATTTTTGGTAACAATAATTAAAACAAGCTTACAGTCTAGCCTTGATAATCACCATAAATTATATATTTTTTATATTACCTCTATATAGGCACTGCCACTTTAGTCACGTCTAATTTTGGTTACTAGTAATTATACCGAAGTTAGACTGTATATTTACGTACATACGTACCTTTTTGTGTTAATATAAATGTGGGTATATAGTATAAAAAGAAATTTAGTTTAATTACTTATGCTAAAAATGTTATATATAATAAATCAACGATCACTAGGATTTCTTCAAAAATTTATTTTGTACTTCGTATGGGGCACATCTCTCATTTTTTAAACTTTAGTAGCTATGGATAGAGCTTGGAACCGATTTTATTTCATAGGTTAAAATCAGGGTAATATATGAAAATGAAACAGGATCCGAACTCTAGCTATGGCTACTTATATGAGACATCTAATCATAACATTTTGGATTTTGGATCAGCTTCACTTCGGGTAACGATGAATAAAACAACATAAAATACTATCGTGGCAAGCGAAAATTTACGGATCATAGTTTATTATTGGAAATTTTACCTCTTTTTTTTTTCCTTTCCTTTTTTCTTGTTTAAAGATAATAACCGACACCTTTTTTTTTTTAAAGATAATAACCGACAAAGTCGGCTTAGCAGTAATTACAATTATCGGCTCGGTAAAGCTTATTTTTTAATCGACTACTATAACTACACGAGTGCTTTTCTCTTTCTGAAAGCAGCTGTGGCAAATTACAACACTGACGTCTCGTACAGAGAATCTTGAAGATCTTGGCAAATAAGGCCACTTTGCAGGCCACCATTTGATTGTGCGTGTGACTGGACAGCGTGAGCAATGCCTATCCGAAGGACGTATGATATGATTCTGTATTTTAAGATCCTCAAATTTCTTCATTGTGTCAAGTGTATCTGTCATACTCTCCTCATCCTCTTCATCTGTTGTATCTTGTTCGTACCATGCTTCCTGCGCATTCATTGCAGCTCGAATATGGTCTGGAATTGTTAGCGTATATCGTGTCTTTAGCTTGTACTCTCTAAGAGATGCATCATATTGCTTATATTTTTTAATATAAATATACAGTGCTGACTAAAATAAAATACAAATATAGGGATTTAATGGATACAAATAAAATAGAGTATAATGCACTATAATGCATTTTAACTAAAAGAAAGATACCTGATGAGAATGTGAGTCGCGAATATTTAATTTTACGAAGTTTTCAGGTAAATCAGTATGATCACGACAAAAAACTCTAGACACCATTTCATGTTGAGAAATATCATCAAATATAGACTGTTTCATATCATCTTGAGATTCTTCGGATTTGAGCCTGAATGGCGATAATTTTTGAGACAATCCTTGTTGTGGAAAGTCTAGTTTTGGGGATTTTAATTCAAACCCTATATTGCAACCTGCCTCTTGTGCACATGTGATATGTAAAAATTTCTTACACGTATAATTAGAGCATCGTATACAAGCACCTCCACGCATCTGACATATAGAGCAAATCTAGAAAAATAAATTAACTTTAACAAATTGACATACAAAATACAACAAATTTGGAGATTTGACAAGATAAATACTGCATTCCAACTCTCATCACGAATGTCTTCAATGTCCATGACTAAGAAGACATTTTCTGCGTCATAGAATGAAATTTCAGGAATAAATGTAGCACATAAAACGTGAACCCAGTTATTCCCGTTAGTTCTTTTCATCGCGTTATTTACACCCTCTGGACGACTGCAAAGAACGCACTTTTTAACCTAGAAAGCATAATATAAATTATTTTCATAAAAAATCTCAGACAAGAAAATTTAGATCCATGTCTTTATAGATTTATTAAATGCACACTTTAATTGCTCTGCGAACTCTTCCATTAAGACATGGGTCACAGCGCCAGCTTCTTCCCATTGGTTTACGGTTGGATATTCCATAGCAATCTAAAGCAAATGCATATTCAATTAACATACGACAAACTATAGTAATTATAATACTATAACATTACAACTAACCTGTGTGAACACATATTTGACAGCCAGCACAAACTAGAAGCGGATATTGTGAATCTAATGGATCATCAAATCCACCACAGATTTTACATGGATCATAAGGTACTGGTGTTCCTGGAGGCGATGGAGGTTCCGATGTTCTATCAGTGTCTTCAGACGTATCATCTGATGATTCTGATTGAGATGAATGGCGTTTTTGAAGTGGTAGACTAGGTGTTTCGGGAGGTGATGGTGGTTCTTGTGTCTCACTTTCAGTGTCCGGAGCAGAAGACAAATAATTTTCTGAAATTTCAGAAAGTGAAGAACTACTTGACTTTTTTGGAGATTGAGAGTCGCGAGAAGAACGAACTCTCTTAACTATTGGCCGAGATTCCAAGTCAGAATTTGAAGATGAGACTGAATCCTCTCCGGATTTATGTGAACTTAATCGCCGCCTTCTCACACCTAATTTAACCTCTGATTCTGAAGATGAAGAACTAGTCGCCTCTGTGTAATTGGTCTGTTTTTCACGTAATGACGTCCTCCGAGATCTCCTCACACCTTGCTGAGAACCAGAATCCGACGAGGTGTCAGGGTGTGTTCGTGACTGTTTTGGGGATTGCCGATTTTGTTGCATTATTACAGACGAGTCCGAAACATCAGTTGAATTATTTTCTGAGAATTTGGAAGAAATTGATGCTATCATTCTAATATTTTTATTAATTACTTTTGAAATTGTATACGTTATTTTCTATATCAAAAAAAAAAAAAAAAAAAAAAAGTAAAAAAAAAAAAGTAAAAAGAAGCTGATGATTTTCGAAAATTCATTAATCAATACCGGTAAATCGACATGTGACACTAATAAACTCAAAATTGTTGGAGTAACTTCTAGCTGGAAATGACAACATATTCGGCAAAAAATTGTCTTTATTAACTTCCAACACTATTTCAGTGTTAATTACAGTTAATTACATCTCTGTAATGGGCCTAGATCTTGACGCTTGTATTTCTCAGCTACTTCAAAAACAACTTCTCGATGAATCGCTCCTTAAAGAGATTTGCGAAAAAACCAAAGAGTTGCTAATGCGTGAAAGCAACGTAATTCATATTTCTGCACCTGTAACAGTTGTTGGTGATATTCACGGGTAACGTTTATGGGAAGCATTATTACTGCTTTAATATCATTCCAATTTTTCGGTATCTTTGCAATATAACTTACATTAACAGAATAAATACACCGTTACAGGCAATTTTATGATCTCATAGAAATATTTAGAATTGGGGGTTATTGCCCACATACAAATTATCTCTTCCTTGGTACTTTAAAGATTTTAAGCCACATTCAAAAGCTTTGAACACGCTTATAAAGGTGATTCTGTCGAATGTTCACAAAACATTCGCCTTGTTCGGTTTCCTGCAGGCGATTACGTGGATCGGGGGCTATTTAGCGTTGAAACTATCTCGCTACTGACTTGTCTTAAGCTACGTTACCCTGATAGAGTGCAGCTTGTAAGAGGGAATCATGAATCAAGAGCAGTAACTCAAGTAAATATATTAACAGTATTACATTTTGTCGAACCGTTAATTATCTTTTTCGTTCACATTTTCAATAAAATCTTTGTAACTTCTTAGACCTATGGATTCTATACTGAGTGCGTCAGGAAATATGGTTCTACACACGTCTGGAATTACTTCACGGATATGTTTGATTTCCTTACTTTGTCGGTGGTAATAGATAATAAAATATTTTGTGTTCATGGTGGTAAATAAATTGCCAAATTTTATTTTTTTTATATCTTATATTCTGTTGGAAATACTCAATGGTCATTATTCTTGCCCAATTAGGACTTTCGCCATCCATACACAGTATAGACCAGATAAAAATTCTTGATCGTTTTAGAGGTATTAAAACTCCATATTCAAACTCATGAACGAGCTATTTCTAATAATAGTGTTGATTGAACACTTTATCTTGTAGAAATTCCACACGAAGGTCCGATGGCAGACTTAGTTTGGTCTGATCCTGATCCAGACAAAGATGAATTTGCCATCTCACCAAGGTTTGTATATATCTTGTACATATCTTACATTTCTGACATTGATTTTATTGTATTTGCATTTGTTATTTCCAAAATATGGTACCATTATTTTAGAGGTGCTGGATATACCTTTGGTGGACAAGTTGTCAAAAAATTTCTTGAGATAAATCAAATGGAACATATTCTACGTGCGCACCAGCTATGCATGGAAGGATTTCAGGCAAGTAGTTCAAAATATAAAAAATAGATGTTTTAATATTTAATGTATATTATCATCTTATTATCATGATAACTATAGGTTCTTTATGATGATCGTTTGTCAACTGTTTGGTCAGCTCCGAACTATTGCTACCGTTGTGGTAATATGGCATCGATCCTAGAAGTTGGTGTTGATGGGCAAAGATTCTTCAACGTATTTGATGCTGCTCCAGAAAACGATAGAGATGGACCTTCTCAACAGATGTCTATCGAGAGAAAGGTATATATATATTTATTACTTGTTCAATCTATTTTGTTACATATCGTTTAATTACTTCGATTTTTTTATAGGACAAAATACACTATTTTTTATAAAGCTCCGTAATAAAAAATTATACTGGAACTTTGAAGAGTTAAATATAAGCATCTTTAGCTTTATAGTTATGTGAATTGTATTGATTGAATAATAAAGTTGGATTTCTTCATCTTACTATAATAATATTAATTAGTGTAGTATTGTAGCTTTTTGGTTAATTGTCCAGGACGAAACATATCAAGTCATTAGTACTCGAAAAAAAATTCTCAGATCACGTGTTATTTTAAGGAGCGTCAGCATCGTCACCAAACGGACAGTTCTTAGGGACAAACTTCCCCAGCGTACCCAATAAAAAAATGCGGACACGTGACAATCTCTAAATTCGGGTTTGTGTTTATATTACAGTATTAGAGCTAAACACTAGGTTATATAGTAAAATTGCCCAAGGAATTTTTTTTGTTAGAGCGCAAAAGTTGGTTTCTTATGCTAATTTTTGAGAAATAAGCGGTTTTAGTAAATACAAGTTTTGTTTTGGATCTTCCTGATTCGTACCACGTTACACCAAATCGTTATCAATTATTGGTCTATTGTCACGTGTCCGCATTTTTTTACTGGGTACCAGGGACAGTGAAAAATATCGATTTATGTTGATTATATGTAAATCGATATTTTTAGGCCAAATCATAGGGAAATCGATATTTCTGCGATTTTTAATGCAGTGTAACAATACCACTTCGGGCAAAATTAAGAGCATAATTTGGGCCGAACAACACAAATTCGGCCAACCTGAACTGTTGGTAAGTTTTGGAATGTAGACAATCAACAAACATGTTCGCTGGGAAGTTACGTTATATTGGGTTACACCGAATCATGCATTCTGATTGGCCAATCTTGGTAAATCGATATAAATCGATATTTTTGACCATATCAATCGATATTTTTGCAAAATCAAAATCGATATTTTTCACTGTCCCTGCTGGGTATGTATGCTGGGGTAGTTTTAGAAACAGTTTAAATCACGTGAATAACTAGTGCGTTAGAGACTACGGACAGTGCTTAGGGACGCAAAACATACACCTGCACCTACTTTTTTGATATACTCAAAAATTTTTACTTTTTTGAGATATGACGATTTTAAAAAAGTCACGTGATCTCCGCGCTTAAAATTGACCAATGGAATTGCAAGTAAGATTCTAAAGAATTTTTATAAAAAAACCTAATCGGACCTAATTTTTTTATTATACCAATCCTATTTAGATATTTAGTAAATGTTAATAAGATTATCAAAATTGACTTAGTATATCATGAGATATGGTAAAAAAAGTTTCGCGATTCTTCGAAGTTTTTTAAAAATTTTTAAGAAACTTCGAAGAATCGCAAAACTTTTTTTACTCATATCTTGTAATATACTAAGCCAATTTTGATGATCTTACCAACGTTGGAATTACAATTTGCTTCTCTATAATTTTTGTTAGGCATTTAGATAAGGTTAATATAATAGAAAAATTAATTTCAATTAAGAAAACTTCAAACTTTTTTTATAAATTTCTTTAGAATTTTACTCAAAATCCTATTGGTCAATTTAAGTGCAGTGGCCACGTGACTTTTTTAAAATCTTCATATCTCCTTGTATCTCAAAAAAGTAAAGGCACATTTAAGTGTATCAAAAAAGTAGGTGCAAATATATTAAAAATGAATGTTTGCCTTAGAGATAGTCATGTGATGATTACGTGATGTATAGAATAGTGTAGTCATATGATGTGTTTAAGTTACTACTAAATATTAATTAAAACAAACTTATCAAATAGGAATATTTTTTAATATATACTTAAAAAACAATAAAATAATATTAGATTAAACTAAATGTTATTACTATTTAGCAGGTATATTATAAATTTAATTTTTTTTTTTTTTTTTTTTTTTGGTTGTAAATACCATAGTTGAAACTTTATTTAATAAAATAGAAAAAAATTTCTACATTAAAAATTTCAGAACTATATTTGTGCTACTATATTAGGCACCCAATGTGACATTATACCCTCTAGTTTTCTATATAATGCAATCAATTATTGCTA